TTTATTTCCGCCAAATCAGCCAGGGCATTCGACCCAAAAAATTCCCTCGAAAACAAAAATAAAATCGGAGTTAAATCACACATTTAATATGTAAAGTAACGAGTGATCATTCATGAGGGCATTCTGTGCATAAAATTAGGGTGTTACTATTTAAAGTATTTACATAAATAGCGACCAACCAGGGAAGGATATTTTCCTTACGTCACGCAGTACTGCATGATCACTAGTTTACCATGTGGTAATTTTAATGTGCTTTGGGGTACATGTTCGTTTGTTTATGACTGACGACACAGATTAAATACTAAGCCCATGCAATAAAACATTTCTGGTAGCAGCGGGGATTCTGTCATAAAATTGACCGAAAAAATAAATTTTTGGAATTCATATGCATTTTTGTTTTGATAGCAGACACAAGTATTGCACAGTATCTTCAAGATCATAAAAATGTAAATAAAATATCACAATCAAAATGCACTTACGATTAATAATATGTCAATAATTGACACAATCAATATCCAACATTTTTTTTTACTTGAGCAATAATTAAACATGTGTAATCATTCCTTGACAAAAAGGAATGACAGTTTTTTTCTGATATATAAAAGAGAGGTGGAGGTCAATCGAGTGTCGGCATTTCTTTGATGATTCGGCAACAACTACAGGTGTGTAAACATCAAAGATTCACAGATTCTTCAGAAGAGCCGACAAGTCATTTGTCAGAGGTCATTTCGTGTGTAAATTTTGTATTTATTATTTAACAATGGAAACATTATATTCCTTTTATTTATGGATGTTTCTTTTTGTCTTTTTGCGCGAGTGTTTTGTGTCTTTTAGCGCTATGGAATTTCAAGAATCGGCGATAATTTTCGGTAACTAACAATGAAATATTTTAACATTTTTAAAACAGGGGTGCAAATATCCGCCATTCAGAAATTATAGGAGACAAATCTTGCGTGTGTTTATATTTTTTACAGACGTGTAATAAATTGAGTAATGATCACCCGAGAGAACGAAATGTCCGGGAATATTTACGCAGGATCGGTAATTTGACCATGCTTGAATTTATGTCTTATGTTTTCTTGATACAACTTCATGTAGATCTACTAATTAATTTTCGTACTTGTACATGTATATCTGGTTTCAAGTTCACAGAGAACAATTATAAATAGATCTACATTTATTATACAAATGAACATGTATTATTCTCCGCGAATCACGGCAAATGTTCACGGCAAAATCGCCGCGAGTTGAATTCGCGGCGATTGTCTCAAGTTGCCGCGAATTCGCTCGCGTTATAAAGCATGAGAGTTCGCCGCGAATACGCGAATTGTGCGGGTTTCGCGTGTCCAGTACTGTATAATATGTATAACAATTATGTATGATAATGTATCAGTGTTTCTGCCAGAGCGCGTTTTTGGCGCACTATTTTCGGCCATGACGCAATGAAATTTAGTTAGTGCGTATTTTGTGACGCAAGAATTTCACCGTCGCTGATTTCAACACGAGTCAGATATACAGACTATAAACCGTCAATTCAGTATAAAAATGTACGGAATGTTTACCGTGGGCTCCACTATAATTTTAATGAGAAATGAAACGGGTCCGTGGTCAGGCATTTAGCCAATTTCAACTAGTTAATAAACGCTTGCATTTATACGATACTGCATATATTGAAAGCGCCCAGACAAAATTATTTATTTTGTTGTCATATTCCGCGAACGAATTAACTGTCTGCTGGAAAATGCCGTCTGCTCCAAAATAGCGGAGATTGACCAATTTCTTTACGAAAAATACACAAAATATTGTTGTCCATGACCAAAAAGAAGTATCATATAAAAAAAATGTTAACATTGACCCCAATTCCCCGAAAGAAAAACAATCCATTATAAATGGTGTAATTTTGTTGATGATATATACAGGTGAATAAATTGACAAAAAAAAAATAACTATTTAAAAATATAATACAAAAACAAGTATTTAAGTTAACAATATTTTTATTCACATATAGTTGAACTACATGATGGTACATAAATGTTCTCTTGCAAGAAGTAAAGTGCCTTAGAAAATAAAACATATAAAGTGTTACCTGCTGTTTTTTACATTTTTGTTAAATTTATTTGCATGACCCTAATGAATTTGAAATGACCCCTAAAATATCATACAGGGGGTCATAAAAGACCCTCAGAAAATCAGAGCTGGCAGAAACACTGATGTATTATGCAACAGCTTCAAACAAACAAAGAATATTGGTTTGGGGTAAATTAATTCAAAATTTCTTTATCATAAAACCATACATGCCATAATTTTTAGACTCATTTCCGGGACACTTCATTTGGAGGTGGGGCATTCATCAGCAAACGTATTTTTGTCTTTCTTTTTTAATTTACTTAGGGCATACAACCAATATTACCGGTATTTATAACAACTTGCAAATTTATTGACAACATAAGCAAGACAAAATGTCAATAATTATTAACAGTTTTTCTATCTTTTTTTAAGTATTTAGGCATTGTAAAATTAAATTAGTCACAGAATAGAATTTAATATAAAGCTTAATAATGTTAAGTAAGGACAATTAGCCATGTCGTTTAGCTGAAACATAAAAATGTAAAATTTCTGTCTACAAAGTAGATTATTTAAGTTTTTTCTTTTTTACTGGGAGATTAATCATCTCCAGGACAGAAACCTTATCATTGGACTTTCCCGGACATCCGGGAGGTTATGGCATGTATGATAAAACATATGGATCATAAGTAAATATAGTGTATCAAACTAGCACTGTAAAATGCTTAGGGTAACAAATCATGGCCACCCGAGGATAATAAATATATTTAAGAATTGTAGTTTATATCATACATAATTATATTAATGCAATATATTATTTAAGAATAAATTTGTTTAATGAAATTATTAAAAACAGCATTGAGTTGAACATTACACATGTGATAATTGACCAATCATTGGGATATTACATGTCATAGTGTGTTAAATAATAAGAGGATAAAACTTTATTTTACAATACGATACAGAAAAGGGTTGTTATCAGGGCCTTTTTACCCTTCTTTGCTGTAGCCTGTATCAGGCCAAGCCAAATTACTACCTTTTTTCCCCAAAAAACAGTCTAAAATTCCCCTTCTGGCAAATATTTCCCCTTTAACTGAAGAATAAAACTTGTAAACAAACTTCCTTGTTTAAAAATAGATAATTGTTTTGTCCAATGAAAGCTAATAATTCAATAACGCAATACAGTGTAAACTGATAATAATGTACCCTCTGAATCAAACCAAGAACCCTCACATGACCAATGTAAAATACTATAAATAGCAAATATGAGTTAATATAAAGGGGCAATAAATTGATCTGTAAAAAATGTCTTTTACTCCTGTTGGACAGAAAGCTTAGTACTATAGTAAACCTTAAATGTGATTGGAGGAAGATATGCAAATAAATTATGATATTCCTCTGAAATGTGTGAAAATATGATATTTTCCCCAAAAGTGTGAAAATCACGCATTTTTTCCCCACAAAAAGGGCTAGGGCGCCTTCCCCAAAACTAGTGAAAAGGCCCTGGTTATTAAGTCTGAGTCTCTGACATTTCAAACACAATACAACACAATAGCTTAAAGTGATGACAAAAATGAACACAAAAAGAAGACAAAATTTACATCATTCACAGAAAAGATGACTTATTTAATTTATTTTACTGATATAATAAAACATTTATAACTAAAACTTTAAGATACTTTTTGTTGTTGAAACACCAAGAATTTCCTTCTGCATGATTTTTTTGCGGAAAGTCTTAACTTTTAAATCAGCTAATTCATGTTTAAAATAAAAGTAGATCATGCACCTGAATAGTTATTATAAACTTGACAATAAGATGGCATATAAATGTGAATAGTTATCAGTGATTTTTTTACCTCTGCATCCCGAGTCCAGAACTCACTGAATTTGCTGTGGATGGAAAGTTTCAAATAATGTGCATCTTTTGGATGCATACTTTTTCTGAGTAGGATGTCTTGTCTGACAGGAATTTGGTAATAAATACCAAATTGTGTTCAAGTTATGTCAATCATATTCTAGGTCTGCAAATCTTCTACAGATAAGAAATAATAATGTGCTATACTATAGATAAGCATAAAAATATTAAGGAATAATCTCAAACTAAATTAATGGAAATAAACTTATTAAATTTATTTGACTGTTATGACAGTTTTGAATAATTTCAGTATCAGAAGCATTGTAGTTAATGTAGAAATCAAATTCATTTTTTCTACATTCCATTGTTAATATACCTTTCATATCACTAAAGCAATATTAAGCCTTTTAACCTGGATAAGTCGGCTAAATTTTGGGACTCGTAGATTTATAGCCCAGCGAGTCCTAGGACCCACACTGATGAGTTTGTAAAAAAAATCACTGAGTTATTGCTGCAGAAGAGATTATTTCAGATTAAAAGGATAAGTAATCTAGGGGCGCCTGCACAACAGTCACCTAATTTTTCTAGGACAGTCCCAGATAGATGTTATCCTCCAGGATGAGTGCTGCCCCTTGTGGCGAAGGGGTTGCCTTTACTGGATGAGGCAACTTAATGGGAATAACTGGAGACTTTGCATCTGTTAGCTCCAGCGGGTGAGGTGGTTTTAACCCTGGTGTTGCTTTAAGTTTGTAACACTTGAGGATAGCCAAAATCATCTTTCCTGTTTTGGCGCTGTTGACCTAAACTGTGTTGGTGAGCCGTAAAGCAAACAAGCAAAAAAACTAGGAAGAGACCAAGGCTGCTAAGTTTTTATTAAATGAGGAGAGAACAAAAATAAAAGCTATGAAATAAACACAACCAAAGTACATGTATACATGTCACAAGATCCTGTGAAATTTGCATGAATAAACTTTGATAGGTTTCTTATAAATAAGTTGTATATTATTATTAGATATATTAAAGATAATTAAATAATTCCCACAGCATGAGATTTCTCTGACAGTGTAAATTTAACTTTTAGACAAGTAAAAAAGAAATGGAAGAACAATCAGAAGGCACAGAGCACTCAGACACTGAAAAGACAGACAATAAAAAGGAGAAGGACACAACAACAAAAGATGATGATGAAAATGATGATGATGATGAAAATGTTTCATCGGGTGATGATGAAGAAGTACTTCCAGGTAATGTTTTGTTGATTTTTGTGCTCCCAAACTGAATCGAAACTTGAATGATTTTCAATATTTGATTTGAAAAATACATGAATAATTGTTGATAGGTATGTAAGAAAATCCCAGATGTAGTGTTTTAAACAATGTTGTGTTAGACAACATGATTAATTATTTATTTTCAAGAGTTTCTACAGTCTAGTTGGCTCTTAAAAAGTGCCTCAAAATTAAAAAAGTTTTTAAGTCCATGACTTTGGTTAATCTTTAAAAGTGCTTAAATATGTCTGATATGTGCTTGAAAAATAAATGCAGAGTGCATGGTAAAAAGTTGATAGTTTTCAACAAATAAGCCCAAATTAAAATGCAAGCCCAATTTCAAAACACTTCATAAAACATTGTTGAAAAATATCACATATGTTAACAGGGCTCTCTCTCTCAGTTTTGAGGGATCAGTGCCTGAACTTTCATGTCAGGCAATATTTGCTGCACATATATATTCATTTCTGAGGTATATAATGATGATAATGTGCCTTTTATAAAAAAAAAATCGGCAAATTTAAAGGTAAACAAAAACAGAAATGCCATTGATAAGTGATGTGTGATAAAAACCAAGTGTAACCACATGAGTGATATTCGTACCCAGTTAATTTCTTACTTTTAGCATTTCACACCTTAACATTATTTATGTACAATTGTTATGATTATCAATTTTTTTTTCAACCTCAAGTAGCAAAAATAATCATTTAAGTTAATAATACTTGTTTTTAAAGTGTATATTATGCATAATTTTCATGTCTCCCTGGATTAAAAAAATTCCCAAAGAATATTTTGCATCCTATGTAAAATTCCCAATTTAAGTCAAACCAATGTTTTTTTTTCCCAATCTGTCCTGTACCGGCACCATTCCCAAAGTAGGGGAAAAAACACTGATGTAACATACATCTGTAAGTTTAGTTTAACAAGAAAATATTCCATCTTTTAGCTGGACTTTTAGAAAAGCCTGTTGTCATAGAAGATGGGAAGAAAAGGGAAAGGAAAAAAGTAGAAAGAATAACCTTTGAGTCAGCAAGGCCTGCAAGTGCTAGTGTTGAAATTAAAGAAGGAAAGGGAAGGAGTCTTGGGGATATACCTTTCAGTGAGTATAACTTTTTGATGAATATGATTTTATTTCTTATGTTTTAACTGTTGTTTAGTAAATGGTTAAGATTAAAATAAATGAAAAATATGTTTTTAAATATAGAGTACCCTCGGAAATTAAAATAACATGAAAAATCGGCAGTATCATGTTACGGCTCTGGATCAGGGGTCTTATAAATGTCGCTTCACAATTTGAAGAAGGCATACAAGGCAGGACATACATTTGAGATTAACTGACATCACAATATTATTGACTGAAATGTTATTTCGTCATTTAATTCAAGTATTTTACTATGACAATTACATATTACATATATATATTAAAGTATAGTGAAAGTATGCCCAAATTAGACCAGGAATGATGAATATTTATGCCCCAGACATATATATTTGCTCTTGTCCATCCGTCTGTCTGTGTGTGTGTTCTCGTGTAACTTGTTTTGTCACAATGTGACATGTAGCTCTGAAAGTTCTTGAGCTAGAATCAACAAAATTTACAGGAATGTTGATCAGCGTGTAAAGCTATGCACCTGGGGTTTTGCATGTGGATTTATTCAGAGTTATTGCCATTGACTTAGTATCAATTTGCTATTTTCAAATTGTGTAGTGCATAGCCCAAAAACAATTTGATCTGAAGTCATTAAACTTTACAGGAATGTTTGTCAGCATGTGTACAATTATTCTTGTGGATTTGTTCAGTTTTGTAAGACTTATACAAGATTCAGGAAAATTGGACAAACCCTATTTAAAGATGTGAATAGAGACAGACAGAAGGCTGGATGAACTGTAAATCATTTCAATATTCCCCATCATTTTTTATTGGATAATAATATTAAAGGTTCAAAAATGGGACTGAATCATGATTCAATATTACTGTAAAAAAAAAGTAAATAATATAAATTTTAATTTTTGTTTTCAGTTGAACACAAATTGGGCAGAATGAAGTCAGAAGACTGTAAACCTTTACACCGTATACTGTACCGCAGACTTTGCACTGTATGTTAATTACTTTAAAAATATACTGTTTAATAGCTCAACATGAGCAGTTCTTGATGAAAACATTACGAGGGTTAACCCTATGTATATTAAAAGAAAAGTTACTTAAGTATTGCTGCTGGCTTCCAAAGAAATTGCACTGAAAAAGAAGAATCTGTTAATGTGTTTTATCAAATAATAATTGTCGGTTTTTGAAGTTTTTTTGTCTGTTATTGTTGATAATTGTCTAATACATATTAGATATCAGAAAACCAAATCATTCAAGATTAAGAGTTTGGTTAAATATAATTTTGATTTGGTCAATGATAAAGATTAGTATCAAATATTTACTTGATAACTAAATATTGATGTTGCATATCCAAGAATATGTTGAATTGTATTTATGGTTTCTTTTTCATAACTATACAGAATCTTGAAACCAAGAAGAATATTCGGCAGTTCTCTGGGTTTCCATTTTCAAAGGATGATAAAGAGTATGAAAAAAGAATGGAGATGTTGAAATCAAAGTAAGTATTTTTTTACAAAAAAGGTACTTTTACCACAAATTAGTGGTAAATTACTCCAAAAAGATTGAATTTATGCATGTATGTATCTGATTGTGTATCAGTGTTGTTGAGTTCTACATAATGTAGAATTTATTTTTACATTAAATGGCAGCATATAATCCAGGTTACTATGATGATAGTTATGAACCCTGGCATGTAATGAATCTGTTAATGTATAATGTTTCTCTTTGTTAAAGTAATTATATAACAGATGTGACAAGGTTTTGATTAATAGTTTTTAGGATAAGTACAAAGTTAAATTTTTAAGAATAAACAAAAGAAGTCAGTTGGTTATTTACATTGACAATCTTTAATAACACTGTAGTGGTCGTAAGTTTAGACTTATATCACAGAAATTTAGGGGTTTACTGGAGCTAGAAATTAAAATACCTTTACATGGCTTTTTTGCATTATTCATTGTATGGATCTTAAAGTTCTATAATTAAACAAGTTATACTAAGATAAGTTTTGTTGGCCCTTTTAAGCCATATAAACGGATTAATGTATCCAGGGATTTTTTCCAGGATTTTGGGAACATAACCCATACCAATGGAATTGGGAATTTCTGCTGTGTTTTGTTAAAAATTGGGAGAAAATGCATGACTGAAATTTTGCAGTGATTTATAATAAATGTATGCAAAGAATTACTGTCTATAATGGCATCTTCAAACATTTAAGCACTATTACAGTGAAGAAGCTCTTATTTGCAAAGATTTTAGAATTTTTATACAAAATTTTTATTTTGTAACTTTAAATTGGGAATTTTTTTCCTGTGGATTGGGAAAATAATATACTATTTTCAATTGGGAATATGACCCAATATAGGCAATAAAATAAGCCCAAAAAAATCCCTGATATCATTTCCAAACTTTGTTTCTGTGTTTCATAAGCATGAAGAAAAAATAAAATGAAAACATTGAACAATCTAATGTGGTGAACAAATGTGATATTTGTTCTTTTGAGCAATACATAACCAATTCCCATTATTAGAAGTCTTGAATTTTATGTATAAGTGTAAGCATGTTTAATAAATTCTGCAGGCAGTTTCATCTTATCTGTGTTCACAAAGAAAAGATCAGGATCAGTTGATTTATAAAAAATAAAACTGATCGAATTATGCTAGAATTAAATTGTACATATTCGATATAGAAAATGGTTGCTTATTTACAAAGAGACTAACCTATTTTGGGATAAAATCAACAAATAACAAAACAAATACAAAAATAATCGGATCAAAATGAGGATCAACTTTATGATCAAGATCAAAATTTTGATCAACTGTATTTAATGCCCATATCTTGTAAAAATAAAGTTTAATAAAGTTAATACCAGATTTTAATCCATGAGGATAAATAATGGAGAATATTTGAGTTTTTAAATTTGATCCTGATCTTGATCCTGATTCTTAAATCTTTGTGAACACTGGGCCTGGTGCTGATACAAGAGCCCAATCCAAAATAACCTCTTTTTCCCCCAATTAAAAAAAGAAGAGAAAATCCCAACTGCTCCCAAAAAATATCAAATTTCTTGAATACTGAGCAAAATTTAATTGTTAAGACCAGTTTCATGAAAGAAATAGACTAGATGATCATGCATGTTAGGAAATAAAACTTCAAGGTCATGTATCAAAATTTTGATAAAAAAATTTAAATTTCCCAAAATGCAGTATAATTTGGCCAGGGGCCTTATCCAGAAATAGCTGGAAAATTACCTGAATTCTCTAAAGCTGTTCTGTATTATCTTCATGTATTGTAGGAAATTCAGTTTAACTATTGTGAAGAAAATGATGGAGATCTTAGACATACCTAGAACAGGTACTAAAAATGAATTAATTACAAGACTCATGGAATGGCTAGAAAAACCAACAGATTCTGGTAGGAAAGTTCCAGCACCAAAACGTAAAAGTAAGTTGTATTAAACATTTGAAAAGATTGGATATTTTTAAATATTTGTTATGACATATTGTAGTTTTATGGTGAAAATATTTTAAAATCTTTCATACTATTATAGGCAATAAACTTTTAACTTTGTGTGAAGTGGCTGAGAAGTGATTATGCAATTGTTTAAGGTTTGGATGTAAAGAACTTGAGAGGTCATATTATTTTGTTAAAATTATGTTTAAATGAAATTTAATATTCAACTGCACTGTTATATTAAAAAAGAATAAATTTGCAAGAACAGAACTTAAAAATTATTTACAGGATCAGCAGGTGGTGACAAGAAAAAAAGGGTAAGGAAAACTAAAAAAAAGGCCGGAAATGATGTAGCTGACAGCGATAATGAAAGTGAAGAGGCAGCTGATGAAAGTGATGACAACAAAGATGATGATGGTGATGATGATGATAAGAAGGCAGATAGCAGTGATGAAGAAGAAGAGGAGGAGGTAAAGGTGATGACAGCTTTAACTTGTTTTATTATCTGTATTTGATCCTTCTGTCTGAGGACAACTTTATTCTTGATTGTAACAATGAAAATAAACCCCTTTGTGTTTTTTGTATGTTAATTTACTGTTACATAGTTTTTGGTATGCAAAGAAAGACTAGCAATTTTTGGGTCCATTTTGATTATTGATATAAGTATCCATCTATCTATCCCATCCCACTATCCTTTAAACATTATACTGACACTGGTTGTATTGTAAATGCATTGTAAGTATTCTTGATTAGACTTTGAATTATATTATATATAAGTTCATATACAAATAATTAGGGTGGTGATTTGATAATGTGTTGTATTCTGTTGTCACAGACTCCTCCTAAGAAGAAGGCGAAGAAGTCACTTCCTAAACCTACAAAGGAGAAAAAGCCCAGAACTCCAAAGGCTACAAATAAAAAGAAACTAACACCTAAAAAGAAGAAAGGTTTGAATTTCTGTTATGCTTGTAAATTGATATTTATAAGACTTTATGAATCCTGTAATAAAAGAAACATAGAAACATCTTTGTTAAAGTTTTTGCACAAGTTTTCATTTGAAAATTGGGTTTCATGGTGATTATTGAATGTGTCTGACCAGATATTACTCTACCTTGAATGTTCACTAAATTGTTGACATTTTGAACTTTTGCTCTTGATTTACTTTTATGCACTGATAAAACTAAAATAGGTAAATGTGCTGTCTGACTGAAAGCTCATATTAGATCACAGGTGCTTGAAACAAACATTTTTTAGTTTTATATGGGCTATATATTATAATAAGATATCTTAATAAACATATATAGGCCGATTATGTAAAATATTTGATTATCAGACTAGCGCCTGTGTATTAGATTAATAAGAACAATAAATTATTGTTGAAAGATGCGCTTTCCAAGTCTTAATAAAAAAAATCTTATTTCATGAGAACAGGGAAAAACATCTGAGCTTTTTAGATAGCTTACCCTCCTATGCTTAAGTGTCAAGAAAATATTTTGATAGTATCAAGTAACTTTAAGCACAACAGCATTAATCAAATGAGCCGCGTCACGATAAAACCAACGTGATGCGTTTGCGACCAGCATGGATCCAGACCAGTCTGCGCATCCGCACAGTCTGATCAGGGTCCATGTTCTTCGCTATTAGTTTCTCTACTTGTAATAGAGTTGGTAACCGAACAGCATGGATCCTGATCAGACTGCGCAGATACGCAGTCTGGTCTGGATCCATGCTGGTCGCAAACCCATTATGTTGGTTTTGTCATGACCCGGCTCAAATATGTTAAATATACACGTGAAAGTTTGTTTATATATTACAGAGGTTAGTGAGGATGAAGATGTCAGTTCAAGCTCTGATGATGAACCATTGGTTGCAAAAAAGAAATCTAAAGGACCTCCAACAGTAAGTTTTTGTAAATACCAAGTTGACTTAAAACTAATACTGTATTCTAGGAGTATCATACAGTCAACATATATCCTGAATGTGTGGATTTTATTTCTACAACTACATAGTTAAACAGTGATTTAAGTTATTTCATTGGTACATAGATGACATACACAGTATGACCTTGTGATTCATGTCCTAATATCTGTACTATGTTTTAAACTTTCTGTATTTGTTAATACCCAACCACTAGACGTGTTTATACACTTTTTAACCAGAAACTTCTTTTAAATAATTTTTCCTTGTATGTTACCAAGACTATACAGAAATGATTTCAGGGTGATGGGATGATAAATATCCTGCAAACACATTTTCATTTGTAATATTATTACTTTCTTACTAAAAAAACAAAACAAAAAAAACAACAGATTGTTAATTTTTCAGATTGACAACTAATTTTAAATTAAATTTATAGTATACTGGTCATAAATGCACAAAAATATGATTTGTAAATTTATTTTTTACAGAATGATGAATTGAAAGATGTTATAAAGAAAATGTTAGACAATGCCAACCTTGAACAGGTTACAATGAAGACAGTTTTAAAAAATGTAAGTGTTATATTGTACAGGAGCTCTTCATATAATACAAGGCTCCTTATATAGTAGAAGAACTCCTCATGATCAAATAGTACAAGGACTCCATGTGTATTATAAAAGTTCCTCATATAGTACAATATCTCCTCATATAGTACATGAACTCCTCATATAGTACAATACCTCCTCATATATTACATGAACTCCTCATATAGTACATGAACTCCTCATATAGTACATTAACTCCTCATATAGTACATGAACTCCTCATATAGTACAATAACTCCTCATATAGTACATGAACTCCTCATATAGTACATGAACTCCTCATATATTACAATAACTCCTCATATAGTACATGAACTCCTCATATAGTACATGAACTCCTCATATAGTACATGAACTCCTCAATCCTCACTTAGTTCAAGCACTAATATGTTACAGATTTCATCATATAGTACAATAACTCCTCAAGAACTCCTCATATACCTCATGTATCTTACTGTTACATGTAAAATTCATCTTTGCAATACTCTTTATCATTGTAAGATCTCTTCAACTATTTTTGTTTTATAGATATGAAACAACAAAAAGATATTTGTTTCTTTTCAGGTATTTGCTAAGTATCCTGATTATGATTTGTTGGACAGAAAAGATTTCATTAAAAATACAGTGAAACAGGTAAGGATCCGAAATATTCATGTGAAATGTTTCAAGAGTCGATGAAATTTAGTTACACCCATTTAGATTTAAAATGATCTTTCATTTACTCTTAAATTTTCTCTCATATAGGAAATCTATTAACAAAAATATGATATCTGAGTTAATGTATTGCCTTGTTCATTAAAATGAGTGAAATCTCTGATTACACATTTCCCTGTTAACATGTAAGTATGTAGCTTTTTTTTGTAAAAAAAATCCTTTGTATTCATTAATTTTCTATTATTTTTTTTCTTCAGATAATTTCATGAAAACTAGAACAGGATTTCTATATTGGACATAAATTACAGGTCATTGAATGACATGCTTGAAGGCAGCTGCATATTGCATGAACAGTTTGGAGGATTGCTATTTCTGACATGTACACATCTCCATATGGCATACAACAACAGTTATACACCAGTGAAATAAAACATTTAAAACTCAGTGATTTTGAAATAATGAAAAATATATATATTGTAGAAAAGCAAACTACTTTAATAAGGGTCTGTTTGTTTATTAAACTTTGAATTTAACATTTTTGTTTTACATTATGGTATGCATGCTATTAAGTAGTACTAAAAAAGTTTGATTTTAATTTTATTGTACAACAAAGTTAAAACTCTACTGTTTGAAATACGATGGACTTTTATCATTTCAAATCAAGTAATTCTAGAATATATAGTAGAAGTCGTAGTTTCAAATAGTATGAATTTAAATTGGAAATTGATTGTCAGGAGATATTTGACTGTATATGTCCGGGTATGAAAACAAGGGTTTTTATGTTTTTAATTTCAAGAAAATCAGTTTTAATGCATCAATGTGTTTAAATAAACCTATCTTTTTATTGGTTGTAAATAGTTTTATCATTATTATATCTTATCATTATATATGTGTTCATGAGTCTTATTATAAAGTGAACTATTTGAATAGTGCAATTTTAGTGTTCCAATCATGAAGTTATTAATTTATATCAATCTGCTCAATATTTCCCTATTAAGTGATTGACACTATAACGACATTTCAAACCTAATTATATCATGTAACCTTCTAAAGGTTATCTTGTGTCTTTAATCAAAGAAGAATTTGAATAACTTAATTTTCAAATATATTTTTTTTTCAACATTAGTACATATACATACTTTTTGACAATGATTGATTAGGAGGCAACTTAATAAGCCACTTACTGTCCATATGATGCTTCATTTGTATGTTTTATGGTTGTTTTTACTTATTTAGTATCATAAGAACTTGTACACACCATTTATTTAGATGATCATATTCAAATAACTATTTAAGGAGATTGGGAGTTGTGCTTAGCTAAGCAACACCATTCAACATGGAATTATATTGGGTCATTTCCATCTTTGAGCTTAAGAAAATCAAGCCTTACACTCAGCATGGATCTTATTTAAAGACAGTGTGTGGTAATTTCCACACAGACTACCTCTTGGACACCTTGTTTTGAAATAAATATATATATAAGATTCATTTAATTGTTTAATAGAAAGTTCTTCGGTGTTTTAATCAGAAATATTTCGCTTTAACATTTGTAAATAGATTGTTGCTTAAACTATACATCAACATCAGGCATTCATTCGCTTTATGTTAAACAGATAAATTTTGATAACTGTTGAATATGTAAGAAGAAATATGATGGTTTAAGAAAAAATATTGTAAGTTTTAAATGAAGTATTTCCAGTTATGTATATATAGGATCAACCATTAACATTTTATTTCAGGTTCTGTTATGCTTTTTCATTTACAACAGTGGAATTATATGTTTTAAATAGAAAATATGCATTGAGTTGATTATAAAATAATAAAATTAGATGTATCACATATAATTAAAACATTGTAAGAATTTAAGTAAACATTTCTTTCATTGTTGATTTTACAACTAAATTGGATGTTATTGTTGTTAATTTGCCATTATTATGTTTTAAAAGAAAGGTAGTTACTATGTTTTACTGTTCATATATTTCTGACTTAAACATAAGGGTCATTTACTAGTAAAGGTATTTACATCTTCATAATAATATGGTATTCTTCTTTCTCATTATATTCTTACAAAATCTGTAAAATCAGATTGGTTTATTTGCTATTTAAGTCCAATTTCAATTTACAACCGGGCAAAATTAAACAAGGGCACACTCTGCAATTTCATTTTATCATTTTGCTAAAATTTCATAATGTTTTTACAATTTGGCTTCAGGATTTTCTGTCCATAATATATTATTTTAATAAAAAAATGTAAGAGAAATTTTTAGCAAGGATGAGGAAGGGTAATCATAGGTTAAAATGACAGTGCACAATGTCTTCATACAATAAAATTGTGTAAGAACACATTGGTTACATATCTATATTAAATGTAAGTTCTATATAATAATAAGCTGATGTTGGAGGACAGTTTTGTTAAATAATAATCTTAGAAATTATCATTAAAATTCTATATTAAATGTAAATTCTGGTAATAATTAGCTGAGGAAAACTTCACAGGCAATTTTGTTGATATAATATCCTTAGCAATTATCATTAAATACATTTTTTTTTCATATCATTTTATAGAAGGATCTCTGTTCTGTACATGTATTTGAGAATAGAAATTGTATTTAAATTTATATATATTGTAATAATATTGTGCCATTATTGCATTGTGCACTGTTCTAGAACTCCTGTTTGATTTATTTACAAATAGGGTTGACAGTATGGTCATATTTTCTTCATAATCTTTCCTTCTCTTTCATATACACATTATCATGTAGTAAATACTTCATTGTAAACTTTGTCTCATAGCTATCTAAGATGGTGTCAATAAATTTATAAAATACAAATTTCTTATCGTCATTTTTTCACTTTTTCCAATTTAAAATTCCTCCAACTGTTGAGTTTGTGAAATTTGGTTGATGGTTTTTAGCTCCACCTTTTGAAGAAGAAATTTGAAGTTTTCATGCCTTTGAAATTCCTTTCAAAGATTTGTTGACTTTCACTGGATTGATGAGTTAGCAACTGTATAGATTGCTGTATGCAGATTGAATGTGCTATGCAAAATGACAGTCCGTAAAAGACTTAGTGTTAGCTTATAGCTTGTATATGGGGCAGTCTGATTAGCAACCAGTCAACATATAGAATACTTGCAAAAATCTATGTTTCTTGCTATAAAATGACAAAGGCCTATATTACTGCAGGTTTTAAAGCTGTGGTCTTATATTCTGCATGTACTTGTGCAGCATTCTCTGTTTAGAAACCTGTTGTTTATCATCATGTGACAACTTTAGCTGTAATCATTCACAAGATACATGTGAATGAGACCTTTATTTTCCGCTTAATTTAGTATGACAAAATAGCCTTGAATAAGAATCACATTTTTAACCAGGTTTTCCGAAGGAAAAAACTGGTTATTAGATTGAGGTACGTCGGCGGGGGGGGGGGGAGGGGGCGTAACAATTCTTCTGTGCGCAACTCCTCCTACATTTCTCAACGGATTTTGACCAAACTTTCACAGAAGCTTTGTCATCAAGTGCCCTGGCGCATATTGTCGGGGTTTTGTGATTGGATAATATTTGACCTAATTATGGCCCTTTGTTTTTTTTCCTTATATAGAATATATAGTGAACAATTTCTTCTGTACGCAACTCGTCATATATTTCTGAACTGATTTGACCAAACTTTCACAGAAGCTTTGTCATCAAGTGCCCTGGTGCATATTGTCGTTTTTTTTTTTAATTGCATAATATTTGACATAATTATGGCCCTTTGTTTTTTTCCTTATATAGAATATATAGTGAACAATTTCTTCTGTGAGCAACTCCTCCTACATTTCTCAACGGATTTTGACCAAACTTTCACAGAAGCTTTGTCATCAAGTGCCCTGGTGCATATTGTCAGGGTTTTGTAATTGGATAATTTTTTACCTAATTATGGCCCTTTGTTTTTTTACCATAACTTTATTAACAGGTTAAGAACATTTGTCCCTTATATAATAGGGAGAGCTCACCTGGGCATCATCATCACACTTGGTTAAGTTCTATTGTATCACCTAACCTTTTTTATACCCCTTATTGAAGTCTTGATTGTAATTTTGAAATAGATTCACATGATCACAAAGCTCATTTCTAGGCAAAAGGACATGATGTCATAGGTTTGCCAAATTATGCACAAAATGCGCAGAGGTGCCAGGATTTGTGATAGCAATGTTTCCGAACGACATTATTTTTAAACAACATCTTAACTAGTTGGATTTTGACCAAACTTCACAGGAATGATCAAAAGGTCATGTCAATGTTTCCTGTCTGTTGCCAAGTACAAAATCTCAGAAAATCCTATGCCAGGAGCTTCTGTATTTGGCTTGAAGCTTTACCTTGTGTTCCTTTACAAAGTTATATAATTCATGCCACTAGGCTAAAAGCTGTCCCTACCCTGTTGGGCACTTTTATATAGACTTAAATAGAAAAATGTGAGAAACTGCATGCCAAGATATTTGGTGCGTAGCATTGCCTTTTGAACCTCTATATTACAAGTTATATAAATCATGCACCTTGCGATAGGAGAGGATAACATTTAAATCTGGGTATCATTTAGTTTATAAAGACTTGTTTAGGAAAACATATTTAAAATCTTGTGAAAAACATAATAATTGATTTCCCTTAGCAATAGCAACCAGTAGTTTTTACACATACACACTGTTTTAGATGCAGATATGAACTTTGTCACATCAGATTAAGATTGCTTTTCATTCATTGTTAACATTATAAATTGTTACTTGTCATTAAAAGCCTTTATGTTCAGGTGAGCAACATGGCCCTCCCTTTTTAAGCTAAAGCCACATAAAATAATGTATGTCCATGTTTGACACTGGATGACTTTGAAATTGACCCAGTGACCTTTTTAATCAAGCCATGGCCCTTAAATGTTTCAAGGGCAAACATGGCCCTCTTGTTTGACTTATTTTCCTTACCTATTGTGTTGTACCTTTTGTTACGGTATATTTTCAAAAATACAGATACTCACTTGGGAGTATTTGTTCACAATTAATAGTGGAGCCTTTATCCAAAGCACAGATCATTTTGACCCAATTAATAAGTCTTTTTACAGAAGACATTACAGTGTTTGTTTAGGGTACTTGTTTCTGTCAATCTATTCCCTTTTTTTATACAACATCTAAACAACCGAGTTAGTCTTAGTACCTATGTCATGTGTTTGAAAATTGCTATTGTGAATTTGATACAGTTCCACAAAACGACTCACTTTTATTTACATAATTTTGATTTGTAAAAATACCTGTTCTGCAATAAGTTTATCAGATATTCCTGGTAACATGCTCAAGGTGAGGTTTTTATCGCTCATTTTGTCCAACCACATTCTTTTATGGTCATAGCCTTTTTAAGGAATATTCCTTTTATTATCCTGTTTAAAGATGATATTGAATTAAGTCACAATTTAATGTGGCAATTTGCAGTAACTTGAAGAATCTATCTTTTTCATGTTATAAAATCCAGGAATGCTAATTTTTTGCTATATGGCAAAAAGAATCATAAATAAAAGGTACAAATAAATAAACTAATCTTTTAATATGAATTTTTTTTTAATAAGTTATTCCCACATACACTTATCTAGTTTCAAATGAATACTTGATAATTTAGTGTTATAAAGCATAATACAATAATAAACAGGTAAATTACTATTGTAGTGCAAGAAGATCTAAGATATATCTTCTTAATTAAGACTGCATTTTTTTCAGTTGAATCTATGAACAGTGGTAGAATGGAGAATATATGTGTTAAAAACATGAAAACAAGTAACATTGGTGGATATGAACATTTATTTTATGCCTTTGAGTGGGTAATTACTGATAAATCCATTAAAGTTATAATAATAATATCAAAGTGAAATTATCAATATATAATTTCACATTTTTCAATGAAGAGACTATTTTTTAAAACTAGTAATGAACCCAACATCAGTACCCAACTTTAAATACGGTGGACATTCTGACACTTTGGACAGCTTAAATGAATTAGTATGCTGTGTTTCACGGATAAAGACTAACTGTTTATGCTTAATGGCATGGTGACACTTTTTCATTTTCTAGAATTATTATATATATATAAACAAACACTCATTCATGACTTTTGTTTTAAGCATTGTGCAATAAAGAGAAATAGATTTTAATATTTAAAGTTAATATTGAAGAAATGTGATTTAAGCTAATATCTAAGCATAAAATAAAAAGAAAATTTGTTTGGTTTTTGCGTAATATGTAATTTTATTTCATCTTGTGATTTGTAAAAACAATATTCTTACTCATGGCTATGCCACTCATCAGAATACTGTTTTTGTAGCTCACTCAATGAAAAAACATTTCATCTTACAAAAAACAAACAAATATCCTATAATTTATCATAAAGTCTGTGAATTACCTAACTAGTTATTATCATTTAGATTAATTTATATGTATTCCCTGAATAAATCCATACGAATGAGAAGTAATACAAATATATCAAAACCAGTATCTACTTCCATATTATAATATATTTATGATGTACAAAAAAAATTAAAAATTCATCTTCAAACAACGTTACATACATGTATTTATTGCTTAAAACTGACAAGAAATGAGATACATGTAATTAGATGCCAAAAGCATCATGCTGAGAGCCCCGAGTCAAATGACAAGAGTATAAAAAATTATGGAATTTGTTGAATTTTACTATTTGTGCTCACTTAAAAATAATATCAGCCTTTGAGCTATAAATGGTTTACACTATCTAACGCCAAGTGATAACAAAATTACTGATTACATAAACAAATTATATCTAGGACAAGCAAAATTGCACAAAATTCAACCTTTGATCCTTATGGTTGACCTTAAACACTGTGTGACTAGTCAATTTTTTGTATGCAACACACTGTTTTACAGTAGCAAACACTTGTAAAAAATTAAATCAGACAAACTTAATTCAAATAACTGTTACAACCTGGATAAGTTTATAATTATATTTGTATATCTGAATATTTATGACAAAACAAAATTTCCATATAGAAACATTACCACCATAATTAGTGTAATACATATAAAGTTATATTAACCATGTAAGGTAATCACATATGGTAGAACACAACTATCATTCTTACTACTCTGAGTGTTATATTTATCACATATTTACTACACCATCATTTTATTTCTTTGTCATTTTATACCATCTATCATATACATAAGTTGATGTTTTCAATGCAGCACCAGCTGATGATGGTTTCGGTTGGGGATTTTCGTCTTCCATTTGGGACTCGGACACTTTTGGTTGATCCCGTTTTTTTTCTTCGAGCAGCTCTATTGTGCAGTAATTACCTAAAAATGTGACAATTATAAATTGTAATATGTATTATTTAAATCATTGATTTCACCAGTTATGCCCCAACTCCGAAGCACTTTCATCTCTAGTTAGTAATAAAGCAGTTCATGTTATAAAGCACCCATTTATATACAGCCATAATGATATCATGTTTTCATAATAAATTCAATCCTGCACAATTTTTTCTTTAAAGGGTTTAAAGCTATATCTTATGAAATATTTGTATAAAATTGAATAATGGTAATATTATGTTATTTCCATCATCTTGTGGTCAATTCTAGACAGTTTTGTAACACAGAATGTCCCTGTTATTTAGCATACTTGAACGACCATTACACATAAACATAACAAAATGTTCCGGAACAAAATATTATGCTGCTATTTTAAGTAAGGTCTTTACTGTTTTACAATGAATTCATGCATTCACCAATCCCACTTTAGGCAATACTAACATATTTCCTCTATACAGGTACTGTATTATCAAAATTTAAACTATGGTGACTTTTAGTGGTGGAGAAAGAACTAAGGTGCCCCTCCATGCCTCATTTCAGGCATGTATGCCCATCTGAATAGCACCACTTGATGTTCTGTAACTCAGGTATGAATTAATCCAAAGTCTCCGGCTTGATTCCCGAACCCACAGTGATATTATCAACAGACAAGTTGTTTGAAGACAAAATTTAAATCATTATTTTGTACACTACCTACAGCATATATATAGCTTTATTATACACTTTAACTAAAATAGAAAATAGATAAACAGATTTTGCAGCAGCTGTGTATACATCACAGTTGAAAAATGATATGTTACAAATGTGCAGTATTATAAATACCTACGTAGTTTCCTCGCATTTAATCTTAACTAATCTACAGATAAAAACAGTTACAAATCTTTATTATTTCTTTTTGTTAAAGAAGAATTTACATTAGTTTTATTAAAAACTGAAACGATAAATAATAGTGTTCTGATCTATATAAAATCAGGGAAGACAAATAAGTCGTGGAATTAAATTACATGCCGAGACCCTACCATGTTATTACTGTAAGCCTACACTGTATTGTATATATAACAGAACAAAAGAAATGTCACTTTGTTCTCTTGAAATATTACTTTATTTTTTACATTGTTATTAAACTGGTAATTTTGATACCAACTATAACTACATACAGCCATACAAAACATACCATAAATGTCTTTGACAACTTTATCTGAGATTGTATGAGGAGGACCTGAAAAATAGAAACAGAGTAACATATACTCCATTACATCATGCCTATATTTATTATTAAAATCATCTTTCAAAATTTATTAGTTAAAATCAAATGTCCTTAGGCTTTGTGCCGTCATTGAAGTGTTCCCACAAACTTCTTCACATAAATTCTTTAACCCAACATCATAAAACAAATCGCATAAGACCAACAGGAAATTTGTTAAGATTGATAACTATTGATGTTAATCTTCTAGTTACATTGAAATATGGCTTCTCTCCTAACTTTAACAGAATACAAGATACCATTTGTTCCCTCAAACATACTGTAGGAAAAAGGTCACAAGGTTATAACAGCCCTTAACAAACTTAACTCGCTCACATTACAGCAGGGATTAGAACAACACACAAGAGATAGCAAATGATGTTATCATTTGTAAAATATTTTGGTTTTGACAATTAATCAATGAATAAGAAAGTTAGAATCCAAAATGAAAAGAGGACAAACTTGATTTAGTCTTTGACCTCCAATGCTGCCTTGACCTTGAATGTGCAATCATAGATCTTGAACACCTCACATTTTCTGACTGTGGTGAAGCCATATTATGCCAAAATATTTTGATAATCTATCACATAATGACATACATCACCTACTTTTACTTACCAAGTGTTACATATCATTTTAAAATTCCATCATGCATGCAGAAATAATGGCCCTGACAAAATGCCTTGCTGTGACCATAACCTTTGAGCTAGAGACCTTGGTCTTGCACAAGACACACTGTTTGCTTCTGACTGTTTTATGTACCAATTTATTTTTATGTCATGTATGTAGAAGTCAAAGACAAGACACAAACTTCAGCTGTTCATAATACTCATACATGTGAACTCTCCAACTTTTTGCAGCCAAATTTTCAAAGACTTTTCTTAAAATATGGGATAATTCCACATATTAAAGAAATTTCCCTTTTTGTTGTCAGAACTTCCTTCTTTGTTTAATGCAAATTCTAAAATCTCCCTCTTTTTGAAGAAAATCTCTCACTTGATCATCAAAAAAAGTTCATATGAATGAATACTGTATGACATACATTAAGTTAAATCTTTTCCTGTGACCTTGGTCTTTGAGCCTGGGACCCCTAGTCTTGCATAAGACATATCTATTTCTTAGGTTGGTCATGTGTACAAAGTCAAATTCAAATCCCATCATGCATGCAGAAGTGCACGCAAGCACACACACACACACACGCACACACACACACATTAAAATAGATGTACCTGGCCATACAGCGGGATCATATTCTACTGTTGACAGATAATATGTACCATCATCCTTCATCATCGACAGCACCAAATTCCTGTACCTATAACACATTTATTTCATTTTGTTAACAAACATACCCATATTCAATAACTTTGAAAATGCACATTTAATGACAATGGTTTATTTATGTTATTGTTAATTCTACAAAATTCTGCAAACTTCTGCAATGCATAAATAAAATTTGCTTTTATTAAGATTTTTCTGAGGTGTCTTTGTTAACGGATGGTCTCAATTTAAATTACACAAATACATTTATTGTCTAATAAAATAAGAAAATAAAGATGTGACATCTGAGTCAGTCTTCTCAAAAGTCTGTCCATACTCTTCAATTTGAAATGAAAACTGGCAGAACATATTCATTCAGTTTCAGTTTTTCATATTTCATGACACTCTAATTTAAAAACAAATTTGACATAATAATTTTTTTATTATTTGAATAATGGAAAAATTTGCCATATTTATATATGACTTATATATGAATTTACAAGAAAAAGAACTTGGTATAAATTTACAAAAGTCAGAAGTATAAAGTTTAATATTGACAAGAGCTGTCGGTAGGACAGCATGCTCGACTATTCTTAGTGCTTGATAGTAAAAAAAATGCCTGATACAGTTACCTCCTCCTGTTTACAGGTTGGGGTCATGATGGTGAACAAGTGTTGCAAAGTTTCAAAGCCATATGTCAATGGACTTTGAAAATATTTTGAACTATTACAAAAACTTTTAACGTAAATTCTAAGTCGAAAAGGGGCATAATTCTGTCAAAAATGCTTGATAGAGTTACCTCCTCTCTGTTTACAGGTTGGGGTCATTATGATGTTGAACAAGTGTGCAAAGTTCAAAAGCCATATGTCAATGGACTTTAGAAAATATTTGAACTATTACAAAAAACTTTAACGTAAAATTCTAAGTCGAAAAAGGGGCATAATTCTGTCAAAATGCTTAATAGAGTTACCTCCTCCTGTCTACAGGTTGGGGTCATGATGGTGAACAAGTGTGCAAAGTTTCAAAGCCATATGTCAATGGACTTTGAAAATATTTGAACTATTACAAAAACTTTAACATAAGTGGTTACGCCGACGCCGACGCTCGGGTGACTGCAATAGCTCTACTTATTCTTATCGAATAGTCGAGCTAAAAATGAATCTTACTTTTCATGATCAATCAAATTGATTGCTACCAAAGACCTTCGGTCCCATATAAGATCATATTGTCCACAAAGTTCTCTAAAATATAACATAAATTATGTAAACAAAAAATGATATTGCAAATCTGACAAATATCTTACCATTGTTTTGCTACAAATGTAAAAACTGCTCAACAATCATATAAGATAAAATATAATAACACTGATATAACTAGATCCTTATAAAATAAATTTTCTTCCTTTACTCTACAAAGCATTCAAGTCTTGTAAACGTTTTATTCCCATCACTTGTTAGAATAAACCTACTTTGAACTGACAGTGGTATAGTTTTTTTTCAAAGAAACAACAGACATACATAAAACATAGAACAATTATTGTATATAAGATGCTGACTTACCTTGACATATCAAATAAATCTGCTACATAGAGCCGTAAAAGTCCATCTTTACTCTGTAATTAAACTCAAGCTATAAATCTTTCAGTTAATGCAATTTATCATGCAATAACAGTAAAAAAAGATTCTATTTACCAAGATACAAAAAAGAAAGAAACAACAATACTTCAGCTAACACAAATTTTCAGTTTAGGAAAACAAATGTCATATTGTTACTTTGTTAAAACAATATAACAGCACTTGTATCATAGTTTGGGGACCTTTCTGTTGAAAATGTGTCAGAGTTAAATCGTATACATATACATGCACAGTGCATTAACTGGAGTGCGGGTATTAGTTACCCGCACTCTTGAGCATGTCCATTGATTGGCTCATTTTTGCTGGGGTTTACTTAATGTGACGGCTGAGAAAGGGAAAGCAATAGAGACATCATATTTAGATGCTCTTTTATTGGTTACTTTTAATTTTTCCGGGTTCATATTGTGACAACAGGGAATGTGCGTTTATGTTTGACTATGATACAAAAGAGAAAGAACATGCCCCCTCGTACAAATCAGATAGCCTCATGTTTTGATGCTCTTTCTCTTACATATTCGTGTGTAAAAAAGCAAATATCTGAGTTAACTTTATCTTGTAAATAAGAATGTCCACATTATATATATGGCGAAATGCCAGAGATTTAATAAAATAAACTATATCATAAACTGTCAATAGCTTAAATACTTTAATATTTCTCAATTAAACAGTGCATTAGTAGTTTGTAAAGCTTTGGTCACCATAACCATAACAGAAAGAACAACATGGGTACCAGCAAAACAATTTAATCTAAAGAACAGCAACACATCCAATTGACATGAACATGAACTATTTTTTTATTTTTTATCCAATTTATTATTTTCTTCAATTATTAAGAAATGTCAGAGCTATTTGTAGAAAGTTCAAGAAAAATGGCTTGCACAAAAAGAAGAAACTATCATCTTAATTTAGAAAAGATGTAATTAACACTCTGTTAATATGCTTGACACATTTTATTTCTTTATAACTAAGCAATTGTATTTATTATTTATTCTGGTCAATAAATCTGATAATTGTTTGCTATTTCTAGAAGGTGAACAAAAGATATTAACTTACTTCACAAAAAAGGTTTACATATTCACAAAGAGGAGATTACTCCAGAAAAATGGTGGACACAGTTTAAAACCATAAAGGTGAGTAACTGATGAACATTAATCCCACTTGTCAGAACCATACAAATTACCAGATAAAATGATAATAATAACTATAATAAATTCTGTGTATTCTAATTATGATAAGACCTACGTAAGATCAAAAAGCAACAAGAAAAAAAGATTAGTATAATTTACCTTGTAAAGTTTACCAATATTTTCAACTGTTTCAACGTCAAAATCAATTTCATTTTCATCAAAGAATTCCTTAATTGCTTGCTCAGCTATTTCTACTCCACACACAGTATGTCCTTTTTTATACATCCTGAAACAAACAGTTTATAAATGTCCCAAAAAAGTTTTGTATTATACATTAATTTATGACAGATACAAAAGGGCAACAACTCTGCCATGTACATGTAACATAAATGGAATCTGCAGACTACATGTTGTGTGCAATACAAGATGGTAAATGAGTATGTTTGGTACCAACCTTTTATTCGGTTTCAAATATATTTCTTGCACAAAGAAAACCAATCGTCCTTGGTAGGAACAGGAAGAAAAAGGGATAAGAAAATTCTACACAAGGGAATAATGGAATCATCCGGTAAAATAAGCACAATTAAATTTGATACTAATCAACAACCAGTGATTAAAATTTATTACTGCAAATATTAATGAAATTCTTGCTGTAGTTTGCAAATATAAGTACAAAATAAAACTCAGGAAATATGGGCAATAACATTTACATGTATATTGAGAATCAAAACTTCACAACTTTAACAACTAAATAACTTTTACCAATAACATCAGCTAAATTTCATTAACCTCTAGTAAAAAGAAAAATTAGTTGAAAAACTATAATCTTACACCTTATTACACCTTAAGGGAAAATAGAAAATGAATTTATATACTGGTTTGATGTTATAGTAACTCACCATACAATATCAAAGGTCTTGCCACATAAAGGCATGAATATTGACTTAGTTTTACCACCGAACATTTCATCTTCTTTGGCATCAAGAAGTCTGCAAAATAACATCACATAAAGTTTAGTAGCACAATCTTTTTCATCCTAATATATTTTAAACATGAAAACAAATCAAAAAGACATTTGAAAATGACAGGGCAACCAGAAATAATTTTTTTTTATATGCAATAGAAAGATTTAAATGCATCCGAAAAGATGCCGCTGTCACAGGTTGGGATTAAACCTCACGACCTCCTGCTATAAGCTTTAGTGAGACCAATGAGCTAAAAACTTGACTATCTGAAGCATTTAATAAAGGTTGTGCTTATGGTGTTCACACAACCATAACAATACAATGTGAACAACAAAGTAATAAGGTCCAAATCAACATCTAAGATTAAGTACCTATGTCACTATTAATAATTTCAATTACATTAAACATAAAGGACTAATGATGTCAATGAAAAAATCTAATTTTCTGTGAACTGAAAATGGTAAATGATAAATTAGAATGGAGACAGGGCATGTCCCTGCAGTCTTGGCAGACCCTATATAAGGCTGACAAACTTGAAATTTTCATATTGATATCCCCAAAACTGATAAAGGGTACCTGGTCAAGTCCATATAAGAAATACAGCAGGTTAAAGATTTAAATGCAAGTTACCCATCATGCTGACTTTGATGAAATCCAATATTCCTCACAACCCAACGATTTTTCCATTCATCATTGTTTAATACACCTTCATCAAGATTAGTTTCAGCAGTTTTACCTGACATAACGTTGTGTAAATGAAGTCTGGATAACAGTAGCTATATGTATAAAAATAAAACAATAGTATCATGTCTAAAATAATGATAGCAGCCCAGTTTATTAAAATCTAAATCAACATTGAATTTGATATCTACTGGGTTTGAGTTCTGTCTTTTTTTTTGAACATCAAGTTATTTTGTTACATATAGTAATTTAAATATTCATTCTGAGAAAATGCAAATACTCAACATATTAAAATTGACATTAGTTTACTACAAATTAGGCTAAAGTTGCTCTAGTTGTTTCTCTACGTTTTAAACATTCTTAATCAGTGCTTAAGTGATTGATGAGTGTTCTTTTTATCTTGTTGAAAGTTATAGATTAAGATCATGTATGTTTGTCTTAACCAGTTCATAATACAGCTCAGCAATATATGCAAATTATCTCAAAATCAGAAGCAAACTCCAGGAAATAATGTACCAAAATATATTTATTGATTTATGTATGACACTTAAGTAAATAAAACTCAATATTACTTAACCCTTTACCTCATATATACGCGAAACAACGCACTTTCGACCCCCCCCCCCCCTTTTTTTTAAGCCTCAAATAGTGAAAAAATGTCCTATTTGGGCGCCAAACACATGTTTTCGTTTGAGAAATGTTGCTAAAAAAAATGAGCACTTTTTTGGCGCTGCCAAACCATCCAAAAGATACATCAGGGGGTTGCCAGAAGGGGGATGTGCCCCCTTCTGTTAGGGGGGTTTGAAGGGTGGCGGAGTCCCCCTCATCGCCAAGAAAATTTTGGACTTGTAAGAGGCTAAAAATGACCCCAGGTCGATCATAATGTAACGTGTAACCAACGCTGAAAAGCCTTTGACTTTATCTCAATCCCTTGAGAAATTGCAGCACTTTGAAATAAATTTTGATGGAAAAAATCGAGGCAAAATAGTGATTTTTGGCAATTTTGAGATGTCCCCTCGTTGCCATGGTAACAGGAAATTTAAGACTGAGCATGTCGTTTCAAAGGCAATGGTCCAGTCAACATTTGTGCCAAGTTTGATAAGTATTGAAGCATTTTTCATAGTTTCATAGCAGTTTGAACTTGTTACAGGAGGCTTTTCAGTGAAAACGGCCATTTTTCACAATATGCTCATGGGGGAAAGGGTTAACTAAAAAAATTATAAATGTTACAAAACAACAATTTTTCACCAAAATTAGGTGAAAGACCACATGTTAACATGGAAAAACTAGTTTTTAGGTGATTCTAAAGTTTTTCATCATTTTTTGTTAACCCTTTACCTCATATATACGCGAAACAACACACTTTCGACCCCCCCCCCCTTTCTTTAGGCCTCAAATAGTGAAAAAATGTCCTATTTGGGCGCCAAACACATGTTTTCGTTTGAGAAATGTTGCTAAAAAAAAAGAGCACTTTTTTGGCGCTGCCAAACCATCCAAAAGATACATCAGGGGGTTGCCAGAAGGGGGATGTGCCCCCTTCTGTTAGGGGGGTTTGAAGGGTGGCCCGCTCATCGCCAAGAAAATTTTGGACTTGTGAGAGGCTAAAAATGACCCCAGGTCAATCATAATGTAACGTGTAACCAACGCTGAAAAGCCTTTGACTTTATCTCAATCCCTTGAGAAGTTGCAGCACTTTGAAATAAATTTTGATGGAAAAAATCGAGGCAAAATAGTGATTTTGGCAATTTTGAGATGTCCCCTCATTGCCATGGTAACAGGGAATTTAAGACTGAGCATGTCGTTTCAAAGGCAATGGTCCAGTCAACATTTGTGCCAAGTTTGATAAGTATTGAAGCATTTTTCATAGTTTCATAGCAGTTTGAACTTGTTACAGGAGGCTTTTCAGTGAAAACGGCCATTTTTCACAATATGCTCATGGAGGAAAGGGTTAATAATGGATTAATGTAAGAACTAACATTATAGAACATAATCCATGATAATCTATAAATGTCCAAAGTCAATATAACAAAAGGGCTTACATTAATCAGATAGGCTATATTTTCAACAGCACATATAAACAAGCCCTTGAATGACGTAATACACAAACAACAAAAAACTAATCAACAGGTATATACAATGTACCTAATCAAAAAACATAAAATAACAGGGCGGGCGGGAGTGGCAAAATTTAACATTCCATGAAAAACGTATCATACAAACTGTACCAAAAACTAGTTGAGCAGCTTATTTATAATAACCGCGGATGAATACAAAAAATCAGTCAAGCAAATCAAAACAAGTCACTCATTTTAAAAGGGAGACCATCAAGCTTAACATCAAAAAGAGACTGTTCTAAACTATATAAGCCAGGTAACAGACGTAATTATAAAAAAGCCCCTGTCAATATCGATAATTAAAAGATTTTATATTTATCAAAAAATACTTCAGATTGATTTGGGACCACACTGAGACATTAGATAGCATTCAAATAACATAATCTGAAAGTAACTGGTGTCATTTCTTTCTTTAACATCGCATTATTGTCACACTGTTCTCGCTTATTTTCTTGAAAATCATGACATTAAATATTGATGCAGAAAAAATAGAAACCAACATGAAAATTTTTACATGATTATTTTCAACATTAGACAAATAATGTACAGTAACTGCTGAGTAGATCATTTGAAAATATTAAAGCCTTTATTCAAAACAAAGATTATCTGAACAGCTTGTCCTACAAGTACTTCCGGTTCACTCAAAACATAATTTCCTACACACAGGTGCTAATTTTCTACAACTTATATCAACTGATTCTTCTGTCCAAGGAACAATAGGAACGTATCATTTTATATTGTTTTCATTGTTGAATTACAAAGAAATTAAATGATGAGATTCGGATTGCCTTACATTTGGATTGCCTTCACATACTGTACTTACAAAAATAACCTGACCATATAGCCATTCTAGGTCAACGATAAAAATTAACAAAATATTATATAAGTAACATTTAACTTCATTTCTGTCACGTTGTACCATTCTGTAAAAAACAGGCTATATGATTATTTTACTTAGTATAATCATAAGAACTTAGAAAATGCTTAGATCAAAAAATCCCTACTATGTTATAAAACAATCACCTTGTATAACAGTTTATAGTATTTTGCCTCTTTACCGACTTACCAATTTATGTAACTTGTAGTCTCGTATGACCTCAACTTGTCCTAGATTATACACCTTATCCAGATATTTACATTATTCAAATAAATGTATGCCGTATCAGTAAATTGATATAACTAATCGTTATCATTTTCTTATTCGTTGAATTTTACCAACAAGATATGGCCACTGCCAACAGGTGGAGACGATAAATTTCCACTTGTTGTGTAAATGGCGCTTATTAAATAAAGGGAAATAACTCATTCACAAGCTCAGTTTGATCATGTTTCCGTCAGTAATGCGCAGGTCAATTACTATCCCATTGAATCTACCCAAACATGTGAGCAAGCTTTACCTTTTATTTATACAATTCTAAAAAGTTTGCAATTGAGTTTGAATCAAGGTACTGTTGTCTTTGCTGCTTTTCAGGTATACACAATGTAGTTAGAACCTTGTATTTCACATACGACAGCCAGACAATCCTGATTGCAAGTGTACAATATTGAACAATATTATCTTTTATATATGGTTTAGTAAAGCCTTGGAATGAATCAGAACAGTTTACCAACAGAAATCTCGGTGACTGATCAGCATTTCCTCTCATTAAGAGTAGTACCAGAATGGAATAGATTACCAGATACTGTGGTATGTTCACCAACGCTGAATTTGTTTAAAAACAGACTCGATAAGGTTATGATAAACAAATTATATACTGTCATACTGGAAAATAATTATTGGGTGTCAGACCTTGAGGGGGTTACAAGAGATTTCTGATCTTGTGACCCTACGCTGGATAAAGTAAAAGTAAAGTATCAGATGGATATACAGTAATAAAGGAAAACACAAATTTTTGTAATTTTATTTCTTAAACATGCTCTGCATATAAGCATTTAGACAACACCAACTTTGTATATAATACAGACCAAAAGGAAAAGAAAAAATCCTGTTTTATCATATAAATGAATGATTATGTACATGTACCTGCACATGATTTTGTATAGCCACTTTCCAAGGTTCAAAATGAAAATACAAACATAATTCAAGAAGAAAATATATTTTTGCACAAGTTTAAGATTTTTAAACTGAATTAATAAATTCATTCTTCACATCAACTGCTGTATCAATATCTTACTTTTTATGTCAATCTTAACAAAAATATTATCATGTATGTTTTTATTGATTTTGCTCTATGTAATTGTACTTTGACAAAATAAGAAAAGGAACAAAACAAAAGCAGAGCAAAATTACCACACAACAAAACCAATGCATGCAGTACTACTAAAATAGCAAACATAAATTGTTCTTACAGACTGGGGGATAAACCTGTACAAAGTATAAATATAATGTATATAATTACCTGGTACATTTAACATAGAGTTATTAAAGTGATAAATCTTAATTACAGAATATTTAAATATTTTCCTGACTGCTGCATTGTCACATGCCTTCATCAAACAAATAAATGCTAACATCTGTGTGATTTTTTGTTTTGTTTTTTTAAATTGTTTTTATTTTGTTGTGTATTACTCTTCTACTTGAACTCATATTGGTAGATTGTTCTTATATTTATAAAGCTATACATAATTAGCAAATAAAGCAAAAAATACATTCAGAACATAAAGGAACTTTAATTTACTCTTACAGGTATTTACCTTCAAACTTTTGTTTCTCCCTAATAAACTACACTAGGGCAGAATGAAACAAAAACTGTATACATTGAAATATAGACACATTAAATACTTTTTAAATGTACATGTAATCTATACAGGTCTTTCAGACCGGGTATTATCTAAACAACCAAAACTTCTTGCAAAGATTATGTTTACATATACATAAAAATTAGCTTCACTAAAATAAAATGTTCAACATTACAAATATAATAAATAACTTTCAGACAGTATTTCCCACAAATAATTTTACTATATATCCAGTGAATAAATAAACATTTAACAAATCATCCTGCTATAGTATTTAAATTCTGAAGTTTGGCAGTGGATATGCATAATTTGAAAATGTATAAACGTTTAAATTGAAATAAACGTTTAAATTGAAATTGATAAAGTCATATATAATGACAATTTTCTCAATAATAAGTCTGTGAAAAGACAGTGATGCTCAGGGTGGGGCCAAATATGACCCTCGGACATAATTTATATATATTGCAGCAGACTACAAATTGATGCTACATGCCATAAGTACAGCACTTTCTGAGGTAAAGATTTTTAAAAACTTCATTTTTAGAATATTTTTAGCTTCTGTGATGTACTCATGCATCAGAATGAAGCTATTTACACTTTTGTAGAGAGCCACAAAATCTTGTGGTTACAAAATAGAAGATCCTTAAAGAAATTTTAGATAACAATACATAATTGAGAACAGATATCATGCTGTCAAAACAGGCCATCTCTAAACACTGTGTTCTGGTGAGGTAAACAAAAAGCTGCAAGTTTAACTTGTGTGGTGAAGTGTAGCTAGTTTGATCAATGAACCCCCTAAGTGAGAAATGAATTACTAAGTAGAAGATAACAACAGCAATGCCCCACTCTGCATGTACTAGTCTCTAAATATGGGACAATCCCTACCCATCAAAATATACATGAGTAAATATACCCTGGTAGATGTTTCACAAGTATCTACAAAAAGATGACTATTAAATATTACTGACTGTAACTAGAAAGGTTCACTTAGTATTTAATCACATATAATTCAAATTCAGTTTTTCCTTTTGAATTTTTTTCAAAACAATACTACAGGTAATAATAATGTTTATCTTCAACAACACAAATGCCATGACACTGATTAAAATATCATATACAAATGTATTTTAGTTCTAACCACAGTCACAACAGCTTTAAAATATTCTTCAGTACAATGCATTAATTTCAAAAAGATTTCAACAATATCCTCTCCATTTAGAATGTAAGATATATAATAATGAGTACAGTCTAACCTGCCTCAGTGGCTCTCTGTTTTTTTTAACAACTTTCTGTCAATAATGACCTTACTTTCACTCCCCCTTGTGATACTACTAATTATTGCATCTAAATATAACCACTCTGATGTGAGGAGTGAAGTTAATTTAACTAGAAATAACACATATTGTTTGAGTTTGGACTGTTTTATTTTTCATTGAGTAAAACAATGCATTATTGGTAAATATTAACTGAAAATATTATGTTTAAGTTTTTTGTCACAAATTTGAATCTTGAAAAATGTTAATGTTGCCAATACTTGACTCTGGATATGAAGATCCTCAATATATACTGATTTTTATTATGTAACTGTTTTTTAAAGTCTCTATACACAGGTTAGACTGTGTATATATATGTCAATAGTTCCAGCCATTTTAAAACATACCTTTCAATCATCTTTTAAACTATCTGCCAACAATTACAAAATACTATGAATCAACATTTCACTATGTCATGTAATAAATAAAGTCAAGTTTTTGAGTGTGTAAGTTAGTCTTCACAGTCTTTCACAAGTTCACAACATATCAGCAATATTAAGACTAAAAAAATCTTCAGTCTTGTCCAAAATTTGGAAAGTTAATGACATATTTTCTCTTGGTAGACACTGAGACAAAAACAAGTGAAGATAAGCACTACAGCATCTTTTTGTCTGCATCTGTCACCATTATGTCATGTTGATTGATGTGCCAGTGCAAGTGACTAAATAGAAATCACTTAAACCACATTAGTCATCCTTTATCTTAAATGAAAGTTAATAATAAATTACGAAGAATCTACAAACTATGTATAATATATCAATTATAAGCACTGTATCAAAAAGAGTTTTTATGAAGTAAATAATTTTGGCAAAATATCACAGTTAAAGTAATGAGTTTTTCATTCAATAAATATGTAGATATACATGTAAGTTATAAACAGATCTGATTTCTTTGTCTTACCTTATCTAAAACCTAACTCTATTTAACTTTACGCGATGTAAACTATTGTTTCACTTAACTTTACATTCTTTATTTTCTAAGAATTCTCAGTCACATTCCCTCACGCCACGTATTCATAAAGATAGTAGAATCACTTCTTATGGTGTCAAAACTAACCAAGTAAGGTTGCCATTAGGAGTATCAATAATATTTGTTTAAAAAAACGCACCAAAAACAACTCCAACACTATTTTGAAATTAAGATAACATTAAACAATATGTAGAGATAATTTTTGTGGTGTTCATATCAAGTATTATCGAAGTATTTATGAAGAGAGTCTGCGACCCTCGGTCCTCGAGTCTTCTTTCAGTCGGTATTGCATCAATTCTACACATGCCACAGCATCTTCTAAACTGTCATGACCAGCAACTGAAAATAGTAGAATAAACATTATATTTATGTAAATTACAGCATATTGTAGAACAAGCTACAAAAATTATCAAAAAACCAGGTTGAAGTCCAATGAGTAATGTGGGACACTTTGTACACCAGAGTATTCCTCTATTACTAACATATGTTCTGTTTTGTTCATATTAAAAAACAACAACAACACTTTCATTAATTTTTTAATTTTTGTTGAAAACAATTATAAAGTAATTGTTCAATTAGGAGATCAGATTTTTTTACAAATTTTTTACCGTCATCTTGTATGATTTTCTTCAGATATTCTGCCATCAGGTTTTTCAGTGCCCTTTTATATGGATAACCTAGTCGGTGTGGGAATACAATAGAGGTATCCACCACTGTGTTGTGTATTAACTGAAAATATAATACATAATAATACTCTACTGATCAATGTAAAACTTGTCATATAAATCTAAAAGCAAAAATAACTTGTGGTTCAAATTTGTTGAAAGACCCTTTATAAGTTTATAATATACAAAATCAGTTTGTTCTATCATGTGAACATAAGATTTTTAAAACTAGCAAAGACAGTTGGCATTTTGCCAATTAATTTGGTATCAGTGACACAAGTTTTCAGATGTCTATAGTGTATATACCTTTAGAGCAGTTAAATCACTCTCCAGACTGTGTCCCATAAGTATTGTTTTATCAGTAAAGAGACTGAGTAGTACTGCCTGTACATCTCGTAGACTGGTTTGTACATCCTCCATATCTTCTTCTGTTATACCACTAAACCTATAGTAATATTATAATAGTTCTTTTGTTTATCATATAATGCTTAAGGTAATATGGATTAATGTCAGTCTTATTGCTAACTTCTTTTTTTCTTTGCAAAGTGTAAAATAAATGGCTCTTGGAAAATACTTGAATTTCTCATAAATATGATGGATGGCATAAAGAAATCAAAATATATTTAAATGTAAATGTGACGTAAACTTCAGTAACTTAACTAAAGTTCAATGTAATGACTGAACTTGACTTCTTACACATACATAAATTTACAAACATTGCAGATAATTGTCAAACCTTGTATTTAAGTCTATAACAGGGTTGTCAGGGAGAACAAGAGATTCATACACGGGATCCTGATCAGCACCAACTACAGTCACCCTAGCTAGCTCGATACCCATTGTTGTATACACCTACAATAACAAAACAGTTATTATAATAATCATTAGATGATAAAAAGAACAGTTCCATTCCATACATTATTATACACTTTTAAATTTTAATATAACACAACAACATTTTTACCCCATTTGTAAAAAATAACTTGATATATGTTCCATTGGTTAGTTTCATTCTGAGTGAAAATAGTTTGTTTCCCAAAATTTGACATAAAAACAAAGATTATGGTTTATATCAATGAATCTTTTCTAAATGCCTTTGACAAAAAAAAATATCATTTGATTATTCATCGTTCATTAAACTTGGCGCTTTAAGGTAATCAGAATGTACAGCAAATTTTCCATCAAACAATACTGTTTTTTGGAACATGACAGTAAAACTATGGTATAGTCTGATACAGTTCTGTAATTTAATGCATACAAAATGACTGAGGAGAATAGATACATTACCATTTCACAATCTAGAGCATATACACCGTAATCACCATCAATGGGTGGGGAACTTGGTATAGTCTTCATAAAACCCGACATGTTCCCCATTTTGTTTGTCTCATGAACATGAAGCTGTAAAATATGATCAAAATTTCCAGTAAATATGTCTGAAATAGTTCTATGACTGTACATGAAAACAAAAATAACTTAATCATTTTGTTTTAAAAGCAAGATTTTAGAATACATTGTAACAAACCTTCAAGTTATTATTAAAAAGAAAACAAACAAAAAAAACAATAATACACATTCTTATGCAACCACATTCTTACATACTATGATATTATTTATATATTCATTACATATGGTCATAATATTTTTTTATCACAAAAGCAATGTGACAATATCAAGCTAATCACAATCTGTGTAGATTACCTTGGCAACTTGACAACCTTCAGCAGCCAAATCTCCCTGGCAACATGTGTATCTTGTCTCCCATGAACCAGCAACTAAAAATGATATAAAAATTATTTTATTTTCACTAAAACAGAGATTTTTTGGAGGTAAGGATATCAGCAAACCAATAGATGCTCCATGACACACTTTGAATATCCTTGAAATCATTGTGAAATTAAATTCAAATTCCAAATTTAACTTCATAGTGTTACAAAATAGAAAGTGTGATTGCTTGACACACATAAAACTAAACTGGCAGTAAGGCTTACTTTTCTTTTTCCATGCTTTTCCCCAATGATAAACACATTCTTCTTTTATTGGATATTTTCCATTTGGGTACACTTCAAATACCTTCCCACATCTCACACACAATTTCTCATAACCTGTAAAAAATGGAATGAAATTTAACTTAAATTGTTCATCAATTTTTTTTAACGGTGCTGTGATCCATATGTTTGCGATCTGTAATAACTGAGCCAATCTTCAGGCTATTAAAATATAAAAGCTTTGGTTAAGTTTATAAATTCAATTTAAATAAAAATTGTAAATATCTGTAAATTCAATATATCACTATTCTACTGTTGTTTTACATATACATGTTGGAAGATGTCAATGATATATACAAATAAAAATGATATTTTTACAAGTTTAATAAAAAAAAAATATACGAGCATTGCATGATACCTTTTGTACTTCCTTTCTGTGATTTTTTCTGCTCGCCATAAAATATAGCAGTTCCACCCTGTACAGGATCTGGTCTTGGAAAGTTATTCTCTTTCAACTGATCCTCTGTTAGAACAAACTGTTGTAACCTTTTATACAGGTCAGCACCTGATAAAATATATATTATAGCTTAAGTTTAGTAAATAATAAATCACAAATGTTTGCAATAATTTATAGTTCAATACATTCATGTATATCACATTTGGTTTTAATTCTTCTTTTTTGTTACGTTTTTGAACAATGCAAATAGTTAATCCTAATTATGAGCATTAAATTTATAATACGTTATTGATCTATTTTAAATACAAAGAAGTTAACATATCCATTTGTCATCTCTCAAAGAAATGAGTAGATAAAGTTGAAATTCATCTCCAAAATCACAGAATTAAATTTACCGAAATAGTCCTCTTCTCTAATTTTAGCAGCTCCACCAGACCTATGAAGTGTATAAGTTGTTTTCTGTGCACCAGCACCATCCAATATTGTGGCATGAGAGGTCTTTTTTTGAGGTGTTGCTGTTTTGGCACCGGATTTCTTGTTGTCTGCTTCGGTGCGAATACGTTTGATAGTGTTGACAGCACAGTTGAGGTAGATTTGTTTATTTGAACATCGTTTATACACAGCCTCTTCTTCCTCTTTACCCTGATAAATGTTGTAAAATAAACACTGTATATAATTCAAGTGTTGGTATATATCTATTCATATTTTTTATCTATTTCAATATGACATTTGTGTATATATGTTGTATATACATTGTGTACATGCAAACTGTTTATATATTGTAATTATGTGGTGTACATCAGCTGAGGCCCACATGGAAGATTGGGGAACCGAATGTGTAAGCCTCGTTAAATAAAGTTGTTACTTACTTACTTACTATATTTACCATGCTAACATATGATAAATAGACTATTCCTAATATCAGTTAAGAATTTTTTACCATCAGTTTCTGGAATTTCAATATCTAAGTAATAAGGTAACTGTATAAATGCTGGTTACACTAAATAGATGTGCTGGTTCTCTACTCAAGGCATACACAGGTCATTACTCAGACTAAGAGTGAAATACCAGTAAATATTACTAGAACATAGTCAAGATTAAGACAACTTAATATAAATCACAGGCTACTCATATTCTGTTACAACAGTATTGTACATGTCATGTGTTAATTTGTTGAAGATGATTATATCAAAATATGCAGGAGATCAAAACTATATCATAAGTATAATGTAAGGTATTTCTAACATCAATTTTATTTGATAAAGACATCAATACTGTATTTTATAAGAGCACTACATCTCGTTGAAGGTGATCAGTTGTCCTGTACATTTCAAAATCTACCTCATATATAAGCATGATACATGTATATCAATATAATTAAATTGATTATACCCTTTTAAAAGCTTCTTCCTCATTTGTGTTGAATTTGAGTATTTCGTCAATAAACATATTAAGATATCTCTGGCGTATATTTGTTCCCACTTTAGAGCTGGTACTCACTTCCACAACTGGTCTCTTCAGTTTTGCTATTGGCTTAATACAAAATAGAAAACATCAAAAAGAATTTATACAGAGTAAACATCAAACATGCATTACCTGAGAGAAAATCTCACATTATGTCAAATATGCAAATAATTACAATACTTCCCTCTTTTAAAATGAAATATTTACATTTCAAATGTCGGACTATATTTCTTTAGCATATTTAAATATTGGCTTTATGGAAACAATATATCCCAACATATTATCTTTTTAAAAAAATATCTATCAACCAAAATTCTGAACAAGGGCCATCAGTGATGACATGTGTCGCCTCATGATTATAGATAGTTATTACTTGGCAAAAAATCATTCAACCTAAATACCTGTGTAATATGCACAAACATTTGAGCTATCTATCAATCCTGTAAAGTTTCATTTAAATTGCATTAGTGGTATAACAGGAGTAGTCCGGAATTAAAACCATGAAAGGGCAAAAAGTCAATGAACCGAAAAATGTTGATGAGATGCACAACTAGACATGGTCCCTAAAATTTTGATGAAATTGCACCAGCAGTTTCTGAGGAGTAGTCCAGACAAACTTCTGTGTAGCTGGCAACACATAAAAACACCTTTTTTATTCAAGGGCAATAAGTCAGCCAAAACTCATTCAAGCAAAAAACTTGTGTATTATGCACAAGTACTTGACCCACCAATTAATCCTGTAAAGTTTCATTGAAATTACATCAATGGTATATGAGGAGTAGTCCGGACAAACTTTATTATTTCAAGGGCCATAAGTAGGCTAAAAACCATTCAAGCCGAAAATCCATGTAATATGCATAAGTGCTTGACCTACCAATCAATCCTGTAAAGTTTCATTGAAATTGCATAAGTGGTATAAGAGGAGTAGTCTGCACAAACTTTAAGAATAAAAATTATTAAAGGGCCATAACTCTGACAATAATCATTGAACCGGAAAATGCTGATGATATGCACAACAAGACTTGGTACTGATCTTTCCTGTAAAGTTTGGATGAAATTGCACCAGTAGTTTATGAGAAGTAGTCCAGACAAACGGACAAACGACGGCGAAGTGATCCCTATATGTTGCCACTACTCCATAGAGGCGACACAATAATGATTGTTCAATCTCATCTAAATATGATACAGAAATTATAACAAAGATTACTGGTAGTCAAACAGGGCTTCCATTAAGTACCAAGATTTGGAAGTCAGTGACTGCAAAATGTCTGGAAGTCTCGTTATATAGGTATAGAAGGTAAAGCATTACATTTTGAAAGTCACAAGCCAAAATCAGGAGTAAATGACCCCCAAACTTCCACTAATGGATGCCCTGGTCAAACTGAGGACAAAAGTGACAGTAATCATCATACCACTGTTGGAGTATGAGCCTTTCTCTTGCTGCCCTTGGCAACAGTGATAGCAGAGGTCTTCTTGTTTTTGTTGGCAATATAAGTAGAAAATGTTGATGATGCACTTGCCATGTTAGGTTTGGAAGGGCCATTCTGTAAAAATAACATTTTAAACCATTAAAATATACACTTATAATAATAGTTATTACAGATGTTAATAGATATAAGGCTTTGCAAATTAACATGACTACAATTAATTCAACAGCAAAATAAACTGACCCATAATAAAAGAATATTTTTCAATATATACTTTCTCTTTTAACTGCTTTACAACATGTAACTCACCGATGTTGAAGCTTTGATAGCATTTTGTTGCGAGATCTGCCTGACCTTGGCCTTCATTTTCTCTTTACTCTCTTGTTCAGCCTGCAGTATTCGGTCCTGCATCATCTTGTAACGATTCATCATCACCTGAGCTGGTGATGGTTTAGGGGCAGGTTTGTTAGATACTGTCTTCTTTAAAACAATAACAAATCATTCAATGATTTTATCTTTCATTAATTTGTTTCAAGCTATTAAAACAATTACTATTAAAAAGACAAAAAAGTTTCACTAATAATGAATTTTCTGGCTTACAATTTCAAGTACAAGTATATTGCTTACATAAACTGTTAATTCAGCAGCAGGTTCATTAAGATCCATATTTACACTCTTATCATCTTCACAAAGTTCACAATGATATCTGATCAAGCATGAAAATAGATTACCATATCAATTACAGAATTGTGAAAATGAAAAAGATAACAAATTTTATGACAACATCAATTTAATCAATCATTTACAAGTTTATTTAATATCACTATATAATCAGTCATTACAATTATTTTAAAAGGAGTCTTATACTTACAGAGGCACTAGTACTCTGTTTTAAGGCAATTCTCTTCTTTCCTGCAACAACATCTGGTGTATGGTCATGATCAGAGGTCTTCTTTTGTTTCTGATATTAAATTAATTAAAAAGATTTGTAACATAAACAAATATTAAATTATGGTTTCCTACAACAAAGCTACATGTTCCACCATCTCAAGTTGATGTAATCAAAATAATTATTATTGGATTGAAAAGGTAAAAAAGCCAAATCATACACATTACCTACTAGTATATACTTACAAGACAGAAATTGGACCTGCATTTTTCAAATATAATATTACAATTTTCACTACAGAAATAAAGTGTTTCAATTACACACCTTTTTATCTCCTTCTCTACTAGTAGAGGGTTTATTGGTTGCCTCTTCATTAAATATCTTCAAGCACTCATCAAAAGGGTCATCATCCATAAAATACTTGTCTAAATCTGAGAGATCATCATCGTCTACAACATGCCGAGATAATCCTTTATCAGTTTCAACACCAAACAAATCTACATCAAGATTCACTATTTGTTTTTTCTTCTTTGATTTTTCTTTCCCAGATCTACTATCTCTATGTTTAGATTCTGAAGATTTATCAGGTTTATCTGAATGATGCCTACTCTTTGAGCTGCTATGAGAATGTCTCTCACTACTCCTGCTGGAATCTCTGTCTGACTTTTTATGTTCCTTTGAATGGTGGCTACTGGCCTTAGGTGAGCCATGCTTTGACTTCTTGCTGTCACTACTATGTTTTATTGAGGAACTATGACCATCTGATCCAGAATGTCTGTCTTTTGATGATGATGATGACTTATGTTTTGATACACTGTGGTCCTCACTTCTTGATGAATGTTTATGTTTATCTCTTATGATGCCATTCTTATCATCTCTTTCTTTTTTAGAATGACTAGATGACTTGTGAACACTGTCTGAACTTTTTGAAGAATGCCTATGTTCTGAGGAAGATCTTCTTTTTGCAGAAGATAGTTTGTCTGTATCACTTTTTTCAGTTTTTTTCTGACTATTGTTTTTGTCTTTCAAACTTAATTGTTCACAACTTGTACTTGTTTTAGGCACCAAACTATTCTTAGACTCGTCTTGTTTTAACTTTACTTTTGGTAAACTTCCAGTGTCATTCTGTGTCAAAGATATTTCACAGTTTTCTAACTCATTATCAAACTCTTCTTTAAATAAACTAAAAATGTTCATATCTTGTTTTGTATCTTTATTGCTATCAACTTTACAACCGACATTAGACATTTCTTTTCCAGAAGATGATATTTTATTGATAGAATCTCTTTTCCGTTTGTCATGTTCTTTTCTAACAGACTTAGTCTTATCTTTTTTCTCTCCATGTTTTTCTATATAAGCACTTTTTACAAATCCATCAGAAGTAAATTCTATTGGCAACAAGTTTTTACTTTCATCTGCGTGTCTTTTATCAGTAATCATATTGTTACTATTGTTCACTCTATCAGCTGTAGGGTCATTATCTGAAGCAGCACCACTCTCACTTCCCTTTTCACTAGCTTCATCTGAAAACCAGTCTTGCTTTTCACCTAAAGGTTCTTCATCACTGTATTCTACAGATTCATTTACTGCTGGTGTATATTCAACTGACACAAATTTAGGAATTTTTGCCAAAGGACTTCCATCATCTTCTATATCCTCATCCTCAGCTGGTCTTTTGACACCTTGTAAATGTTTTGCATAGTCTGGAATTGAATCTAAATCTGTGGCTATATCATCTTCCCCACTTCCAGGTATATATGCTAAATCTGTAGATGATTTGCTTCCTGTGGAAAAGTTACATGCTGGGTCATATTCTCCATCATTTGCAGGTCCATCAAGCAAAGCTAAATCATACTTTGATCGCCCTAATTTACCCTCAACTCTTTGTTTCTTTAGTTCTCTTATTGGAGTTGGATTATATTCAGGAGTTCCAGTTGGTTTGTTTTTCAATGCATTTACCCTCGACTTTTCTGAAATATCAGTATTATTTGAATTGTCATGATTACTTAGTTTTCTTTTTTCTGACTTAATACTATTTTCAATGTCCTGTAGTGTTCTTTGAAGTGACGATGTTGGTGGCTTGTATTCATTTTCCTCCTCTTTACTCTGCACAGCAGACTTCTCAGCTTCTAACCGTGCTGAAGTGTAAAATTAAATAATCTTTGAAGTTATAAGCTCAAGGCACAAAACATTATTAGCGAGATGGAAGAGCTGGCCTGATGGGCCTGCTAGCAAAACGAGCTTTACAATAACTTTACCTGCTAGATAGTGATGGTTTTTAAACCTTTCGTTGGACGTACTGAATTGACACATCGCAACAAATTTTAAGGTAACGATAAAAGCCGAGGAATTGTGATTGAAAACGGATGCGTAGACTTTTGTCCTGCAAACTTTATAGCAGTGTATAAAATACCGAATGACAGTTTTAAAACGGAAAATGTAAATGAATGATTATTTTATACTATTTCACAGTAAAAGTTAATCGAGCTCGCTTTAAGGTGTTGCTTTTTTGATATTAATACGGGGAAGTCAAAGACCGGGCCCGCGAAGCGGGTCCGGGCTTTGGCTTGCCCGGCTATAGACTAAACGTGAATATTTAAAAGAAAATCAAATAAAAAACAATTAAAAATATATAGAATTCTATACCTATCAATGAAATTTTCAGTGTCAGTTCAAGTCGGGCGGCCGCCATTTACAATGTATGTCAATGATAACAGGCGGGGCATTCCGATAACGGAACAAATCTCAACTTTTCGGATTAGTAATAAATCGTCGAGTGTTCCGAGTGAAAACAGAAGCGGTGTATGTAATATCGAATGACACCTTTAAAACGGAAAGAATGAAAGGATTTTTTTTTAACGACTACCCCCGTTCATAGGCTTTGCCTAATTTCATATTATACTTTAGATAAAAAATATAGGCTTATTGCAGGTTATCATAGTGTAATGTGGTTTAATAATACATAATAATGTACTTATATATGCTCTACACACAGTTTCTTATTTCTATAATTAAAGTAACATTTTTAGTAAAAAGACACAAATGAAACTATTAGGCTGAATAACTTTCAGTTCATTTCTAATCCAAAATTTAAACTTAGGAGCATTTCACTTTTCAAGTATATACTGATACCAATCTTCCATTTAATAGAAATTGATACCATGGGTTGCTTATTAAGCATGTAAATACTGATTGCCCACAATTCAGTCTGTAAAAATTATTTCAAAGCGATAAAATAGATAAAAAAATGCCTTAACCTTTTGCTTTCGTCTTGTTAGAATGTTTGAAATGATGACCAGAAGGTTTTTTCACACAAAGACCAAATAAATAGAAATGAACAAAGAAAATATCACGGAAAAAAGTCCAGTAGAGGGGCAAACATGTCTTTTAAGAATGAAAAAATTTCTTAAAAAGACAAAATTATTTCATGGGCGCCGCCATTATGAAAGGCTGGTTATAATGTTATTGTTTAAATATCGAAATGAACCTTATTGAACGAAAGTGTTCGTGCGAAAGTGTTCGTGCGAAATGAGACGCGTAAAGCCGGTTTGCCTAAAATACGAAAGTGACTTTTTTGACGGTGACATTTAGAAAAATGAATTATAGAGTTATAATAGAATTTGATAATAAAATAAAGGTAGCATTGTAATCCAATCATCAATTAATGTATATGTAACTGATGATACTTGCCCGTTGTTTATTGAAAGTAGATATCTCTGCACAGATTACTCTTTTACTTAGGTATTTTTCTATATTTTTTCGACGTTACCCTTGGATTAAAACAAGGGGAACCACTCTCGCCGATTTTATTTATCCTTTTTGTAAATGATATATGTGACAACATTGATTATAACTCTCTTACTGACAATGATCTTAACCAGTTATCTATGTATATGTTGCTATTTGCTGATGACATAGCGCTCTTTACCACTGACCCGCACAGCTTACAAGCCCAGTTAGATGCAGTCTATAGTTATTCCATGAAATGGGGTTTTAAAAATAAATGTCAATAAAATCAAAAATATGTATATTTGAAAAACGTAAACAAAGACATCATTTTCAATGGTTTATAAATGGTGAAATGCTTGAAGTTGTTGACCATTTTTGCTATTTAGGTTGTAAATTTTTACATACACTGGTAATATGAAAAACTGCTGCTATTACGCTGTCTGAACAAGCTTTGAAAGCATACAATTGTTTGTTAGGGTTATTCAGTAGAGTAAATTTAGATATAAAAACTAAAATGTCACTTTTTTGATTCTATGGTGCTACCAATTTTGTTATATAATGCAGAGGTTTGGGGTATTTATGATTGTAAAGAAATAGACAAAATTCATGTTAAATTTTTGCAAGTATATACTTGGTGTACGTCAGCAAACACCGAATGTTGCTGTGTTTGGTGAGTTAGGAAGATTTCCTCTTTCTGTTATTTCTAAAGAAAGAACTCTTAAAATTCTGGTTAAAAATTATGAAAAACCAGGGACTCACCAATGTACAACATGTTTGTAGACCAGTGTAAATCGAAATGTTGATTGTAATTGGGCAAGCAGTATAAAAACGCTTGTTAGACAGCTTAGGTTGTAGTGATATTTGGCTTAACTTTAACTTAAATTTTAATTATATGCCAATGTTAAAGCAGCGTCTGCGAGACCAATATTTACAGAACTGGAATACTTCTATACAAAATATGCCCAAGCTTGATTATTACAGAAAATTTAAAACTTCTTTTGTGTTATGAAAAATATCTTGATGTTTTAACAAATAATGTGTTAAGAAAAGACTTTGCTTGTTTCAGACTAGGCTCGCATAACTTAGAAATAGAAACTGGAAGATTTTTTTAACATTGAAAGAAACGATCGCAAATGTAAACTATGTATATATAACTCTATTGAATCAGAATACCACTTCCTTTTATGTTGTCCAATTTATACTGTTATAAGACCCAAATATTTAGGAAACATTTCATGGCCTACTATACAAAAATTTTCGACTATTTTGTCCACTAATAACAAAAAGCTTATTCTTAAATGTGCTCACTATGTTCATAATGCATTTAAGTTGAGGCAACAGTCTCTTGAAGATGTAACTGCTTCTTAATTAGTTTCATTCTTGTACTCTTTTTGTTATACATTGTATGATGTAATGTTTGTAACTATTTAACTTTTGGCCATATTTGTCATGATACTCTGTGAATGGCCAAAGGTAATGTTTATTTGCCGATTTGCCAATAAAATGAAATAAAATGAAATATATTATTTGCTAATCATTTCATCATCACCATTAAAAATGTGAATCTTTCGAAATAAATTCAAACTTAAACATAAATACGGCGATTAAATGAACGTTAGCAGCAGTTTGAATAACTTTTATTTCCAATCAAAGGTCTTGATAAATTAACATATAAAACACAATGATGATGAGATGAAAGCTCCAATAAAGATGTTAAAGAAAATAAAACTTGATTTGTATGATAGCAATAACAATGAACTGAATAAAACAAACAAAACAAAAGCAAAATAACTCATAAACTTAAGTTTGCTAACTAGACTTAACTGTTAAGCATCATATTAAACATATAATATGATACTTATAAGAAATACAAAGATTATACCTTTAGTGCAGCTGTACTGTAAAGAAGCTTTCTCAAACTTAACTAACCAAAATATACAGCAGGTAGTAATTAATATTAATTTTGGGTGAAAAATATTAAGCTTGACGATACAGAGATTATTAAAATGTTTATTCAATGCTTAAGCAAGATGTTGATTCTGGGAATACATATAACTCGAAAAACTGGGCTTTTTGCATTAAAAACATTTTAACAACCCATGGTTTAGCGTATGTATGGATCAACCAGTTTGATATAGATATCCCTTTTATTATTATCAAACAAAGAATTACAGATACTTTTTACAGAAATGGTATACTGATATAAACAACTCTAGTCGCCTGCAAACTGATAACATTTTCAAACATGATTTTAGATGTGAAAAGTATTTTGATTTAATCACAGACAAAATCATAGAATTGCTTTTACTAAATTTAGAACGCCATCACATAGCTTATGTGTAGAGTCTGGTCGATATGAAAACATACCAAGATCAGAAAGAATATGTAAATCTTGTTTAATGAGACAACCTAAAACAGAGTATCATTTTTCGTTAGTCTGTCCACGTTATAGAGAATTGAGGAAAAGGTTTTTAAAACCTTATTATTGTCATTGGCTGTCTGTTATAAAATTTGATAGCCCAATGTCTTCTAATTCTAAGAAAACTATATGTGCTTTATCTAAATTTATTTACTTAGCAAATAGACAACGCATTTCATAATATCTCTTCTAGTAATATCTGAAAATGAAATGTTGTATTCGAACCATAATTTATTGTTTAAGAGGTTTGCATTTGCATGTATATCTTTCAAAAAGAACTGACTTGCAATTGCTATTTTTGAATGCTATTTTTAGTCTGTAGGGCTTTAGTGTTCTTCATGTCTTTATATTTTAGAAAATGATAGAATAAATGAAGTGCAGACTATTAAAGGGACTCCACTGAGGTTTTTTGACATGACGGGACTGGAAATAATTTTTTGAAATTATTACTCCATTTGATGTAGATCTATACTAATAACTTATGTGCAAAATTTCAGATCATTTGTGCGCTCCGTTTTTCCAGAATAATTGATATAATAGTGAAAAATGACCCAAAATTGAAAAGCGTTTAAACGCTTTTCAAACAAATCGGACTGAGAATAACACAAATATATGATTTTTAATGTATTTCTTGTATATGTCTTGACTTTATTTTATTTATATTTCTGTTTTAAGTGTTCTTGTTTATCTATATGAAAAATTAAAATTAAATGTTTTTAGGCTTATAAACCTTAGTGGAGTTCCTTTAAGACTATTAAGAATATTGTAGGTTGGCGTCAGTTTATTTGAAACTTATGCATGCAAGCGCAATGTATATAATAAAATTATATTAAACATATTAAATATTGAACATAATATTCCATGAATCATCTTATTTTTGCTGTAAAAATCCATGTTTTGATCTTCAAACATTGTATACATGTATATAAGCATTGTACTATGCTTTATACAAATAAACTTGTCGTATTCGTAATAATATAAATTAAAGGAGAACTATAATTATGATGTACAGTACACATGTCTCAAACAAACCTATACTGAGTAACATTAATTTACATTCTCTCAGTAATATTTTCTGAGTTTAAAACAAGTAAAAACAAAATCTACAAATTGTTTTACGATTATTTCATCTTCATTGCTCATTAACAAAATGAATTTGCTTATCTCAGACATTTTTTTAAAGTTCAAATTCCTGTCTTTTATTTCATTACATTGTATATAAAATGCTGCGTTGACTAGTAAAAGCATTACAAGCAGTTACAAAGTGAAGCTCGTCTC